ATCATAATGTAAATATCTGATATGCAGGATGTATTTTCATTGTTACAAATTGAACATAATTAAAGCATAGTGATTAATCACAAAAACAATATGTAATTATATATTGTGAAATATTTATAATTCATGAAGTGTCGTTTTACCTCCAGTACTGCTGCTTTCAACACAGCAACTGCTTTCTACACAGTAGCTGCTCTCTACACATGTGTGACTGGTCCGCATAAGTACATTATGGCGCCAACCCCGTCACATAACACCTGTATTTGTATGGAGTGTATATGATGGGGTTGGCGCGATGATGTCATCACGCCGGGTACTCATATGTAGGTGTATCTGCATGTGGGCGGACCCGGCTGGAGACGGATAGAGGAGCGGTGTCTCGGTTCCTAAGATCATCTAAAATATGTGTTTTCCGATGGTCTTAGGCGACCCCTGTGAAAGGGTCGTTCGACCCCCAAAGGGGTCACGACCCACAGGTTGAGAACCGCTGTTCTAGACAATCCTATTTTGAATTGCTACATAATTATATTTCTATTTTTTTGTCTTGTTCTAGCTGCTTTGTTTCTAATTGCTAGGTTTTCATCAAAGTTATATACTTTTAATTTCTTTGTTGCTTTTTTCTAACTTCTATGAATTGTGGATTAATTAATAGAGTAGAGATACTTTGAGGTAATTGCAATAAAATTATGTCTTCCAAACTGCCAGGTAGGAAAAGGCAACTAGATCAGGAATGACCAGTAAATTTAAGACTATAAATATAGTCTTATTTCTGCACTCTGCTAGTAAGGCACTTCACAAAATGTCTGTGCAGCAGCAATTAGGAGAGCTTAAGTGAGGTTACTCTTTCCATAATAGAGCCAAACTCCTCTGTCCTTTGAATTTCATGTCAAGTAAGTAGGTTAGAGCTACAGGCTTGAGTAGATTTAGATTCACTTTTTTTTTTAAGGTAAGAATATTTCATAGATTTGCAGTTTTCATCATGAATCACACATTGCCTGGTTTTTTGTTTTGTTTTTTATTTTACTTAAGCTAGCTCAGTTCACTTTATTCATTTTGGGGGAAGTCATTAAAAAATTATGTCAAATTTTTACCTAATAAGTTTAGCATTCTTTTTTTTTTGAAGGTTGATGAGTTGATGATTGTTGCCTTAATTTGGGGGATTACTTTGAAATATGGGGCCATTTACTGCCAACATAAAGTTGTAGGAATTTCCGAACTAAGGATGACATTAAAATTTTAAAAATGTGGTATTTTAAAGCCAGTGTTCTTGATATTCTAGATAAAATGGTCTTAAACATCCAGTGCAATCCTTTCAGAGATAAGGGTAAGGGAGATGCCCTGCCCAGCTTTCAACTGGCAAACTTAGGACAAGAATTCTCTGAACATAATTTTATTGTTCTTAGGAAAATTAGGTGACCTCTGGTGGTAAAAATAGCATCTTCAATTTTCAAAAGTGTGTTTAAAGGGAGTTTACTTGTTAGTGCCCATAATTTTTTATTTTGAGAGTTTTCTTTATACAAATAATGAAGTTTTAATTATTTTTCTCCATTGGTTGCTTTATTACAGACACAAATCCTTATGTCTGTATTTCCTCCTCTCCTACAGGAGATTGTTGAAAACTTTAAATTTGATTCCTGAAAGGACTCAAGTAAGTAGTATGGTAGTTATTCTTACATATTTGTGACAAGCCAGTAAATTTCAATAATTTAGTGTTATATCTAGTTAAAAACAATATAGTCTTTCGTAGAGTTTATTTTTCTTCCTTTTTAATTACAAAATTTTACTTTTACTTATGTTCTCCTTTAGTTCATTAATTTATATTCATAATTTTTGCCATCGCTTGACACATTATGCTTATTTAATGATTTCAGGACCTTTAAAAACAGTTACTTAGTTTTATAATGGATTGTAGGATGTATAAAACATTATGCAGTGGAAATACTCACCCTGCTCTATACCCCAGCCGCCCAGCTCAGCAGAGAGGCAGGCACTGTGACAGTCTCTTGCTTATACTCCCAGAAGTAGTCTGTGCAGATGCATATCTATTTATACCCTACCTTTTTATTTTCCAAAAGTGACGCCATACTCTGCATATTAATTTGCTCTTTACTCTTTTTTATTTAGCAGTGTATCTTAGCAGTCTTTCTATATTGTTACGTATGGGTTTACTTTTCTTTGAAATGGTTTACTCAATACTCCTTTATGTGAATGTACAACACTTTATTTAATCTAAACCCTCCCAAAGGACATTTTAGGTTGCCTTCAGTTTTTACTGTGCACATGTGCAACTATACGTAGAAGTAGAATTGCCACGTCAAAGTGTGTGCATTTAACATTTTTAATAGATATTGCCTAATTGTTCCCAGTACTAAATTATACTTCCCTCATTAATGTATTAGGATGTTGTTTTTTATTCTTGTCAAAGCAGTTTTTTGCAGACCTTTGGGTGAAAATTAGTACTTCATTATAGTTTTAGTTTTTATCTTTATTTTGAAGAAAGTTGAGCATCTTTTCAAAAGATTGAGCCATTGTATTTCCTTTTTTATGAACTGTCTTCATATCGTATATCCATTTTTCTTTTGGGTTGTTGATTTTTTTTACCTGTGATATAATTTCAATTTGTTGCTGTTACTATTTCTCTGTGCTGTATCTTAAGTAGGATAAAACCTAACTTACTCTTTAGACTGAAACCTTTGGTAGGTTCAGTAAAGGTGGGACCCTCTTAATATTAACAAACTCTTTAACTTTTAAACTTCCATCAATTCTTGTACCTAATAGACGAGTTACTTTGAAATAACATTGTTAATGATATCTGATTGTAGACTTAGAATTCAGGTTGATTTTTGCATACTGTTGAAAGCTAATTTATAACTTAAAGAAATTAAGATTTACCTAGGTATCTTTGGTTAGTTGATTTCGTTTTTTGTGTCTATAATAGAAAATATAGGTTTGTTTTTACAGAGGAAAATTAAGATTGTTTGTACTATGATAATGTCAAAAAATACTGTTCTTATCTTCCAGCCTTTATTTTTTCCTTAGCCTCCATTAACTTAAACTGTTAGAATTCTATACTGCCAAAACGGGTTGGCTATCCTTTACCTTATCCCCTTAGTATTACATCAGAAAGAGCACCAGAAATCTTTTGACATGTATTTTCTGAAATATTTTCCCTCTTCACAGATCTGTGGCCTATGCATCTGGACTTGTTGCCCTGTTTTCTGTGTGCAAAACAGTCCTAACTTAGTAGCTAGCTGTCCCATTTTCAGTTCTTGCTCATGACCATCCTTCTACGTGTCAGGATGGTTCACAGTTCTTAGCTCAGAACATGCTGCATGATTACTTCACTGTCTCCTGGCTCTGCCCTGTTAATCATTTGTCATCTACTCTAGGAGTTGTCAAGCTCCTGCCTGTGGGCCTCTGCCTGTTTTTGTACATAAAATTTTATTGGAACATGGCCACGCCATACATTTATATACATTGCCAATTCTGCTTTCATATTATAACAGCAGGATTGAGTAGTTGTGACAGAGACCTGTGACCTGCAAGCCCAGAAACATTTCTCTGGTCATTTACAAAAAAGTTTGCCCACCCCTGATCTACTTACTGTCTCGCCATTTCATATAAATGGCCTTCTGGGCTGTTTCCTGCACCCTGTTCTCGTCTTCTCTCTTGATGGCCTTGCTTACCTTGTCTTCTGCCTGTTCACAGATTCCATTTCAGCTGGACTCTTTAATGCACTACATTAGCCTCTAACCAGAATGTGTCATTCTCAAAATAGGAAGCCTCTCTGCATCCCAGACATAAAAATGCTGACAGAGCTTTTAATTTCAAACCTTACAACGGTACCTTTGCATTGAAATATATTTATAGGATTAAAAACAAAATCAAGAATGGTTTGTTTCAGGGTTTGTTGAGTGTGTTTTTTACAGGATTATTTACTTAACACTGTTTTTCAGTTAAAATCACTGTTGAACATAATCGAGAACATAAAGGTGTAAGCTCGAAGAATGTAGAAAAGCAAAAAACGAATGTTATCCAAACCATCCCCCAGGAAGGAGGAGTATCTTTGCTGATCAGCCTTTTAAGCTATTCACTAAGATGAAACTTTTCTAAATTTTACTCTATGAGAATGAAGAAATATTTGTGGTCTTGTGGGTCTTTCTCCGTAATTGATAGGAATAAGCTCTTTGAAGCTTTGGATAGCCTTGAAAATCGAAAGAAGGTGGGGCTTTCTAGTATATTTTTTTAAAGAAAACTTCAAAATTATTTGGAGGAAGAATTGCCTTAATCATTCTTTTCCCCCCTTAGTCACTTACATTTTTTTTCCTTAAATGTCTGGAAAATATTTTTGTTGGAAAGTAATAATTTACTTTTTCCTTATCTTCTCTATTACTTCCTAATAACATAAAAAACCCACATAATTCTCTGGTTTCTTTTTTATCCTGTAGTGGCTTACAGAAGAGATGAGATGTGGTCTGAGGGACGATATGACTATGAAAGGCTTTCAAGAGAACGGGGACCTCCGCGAAGTCACCCCAGTGTGAGTTGCTTCTCCATGCACAGAACGACCCAAAACCTAGAGTCTAGAGGATTGGGGTGCACCAAGCCCACGCCTCGTCACAAAATCCACAAGTGCCCAAAATTGACCATTCTAGGTTGAAATATAGCTAGATCGAGATGATCTTTTAAAAGTTAAATGTTTGAAAGTAAAAGCCAACTTTTTATTTATGTAGAAAATCCATATTTTATATTTCTTATTAAAATTTTTTAAATGGAGAGTTTATATTGAATTTAATTTGGGAAGAAAATTTTAGGTTTGATAAAGGTCAGACCATCAATTAACAAAGAGGTATTTGAGCACCTGTTCCTATTATTGGCTGTCACCTATTTTTTGGTATTCCTAAAAACATTTGCAAATTGGACAGATGAAATTCTAAAGTAGGGGCCGCTCAGGGGCAGGTAGGCAGCCTCTGGTATGCTGTCCTGCTGCTTGTCTCTTTGTGGCTCTGGGAACCGGGAATTTTGAATCTGGTCTTTTCTCAAGGAGCTTGCTGTTTTGCTTATCACTCTATTCCCAGCACTATATCTAGTACCTGGCACATAGTAGGAGCTCAGTGTTTGTTAAATGAATATATGCACTCTCTCCCCAAAATCCTCTATAGAGACCCAAGGGAGGGTTTGGAGAAGGTAAAGAAGCTGTCACTCTTAAACTTTTGCACAGGCCCATTCATTCTGAGTATCAGGACTGTGTTTGTGGTCATGGCATATGGGTATATTATGGATTCATTATACACCATCAAAGGGGAACAAATACTGGTTTATGTATTGTTTTTTTTACTTATATATTGTAAGTAAATAGCCCACTTAGATAGGTGATGTTATCTTCAAGGTTGTCATTTGGCCTAGGTTATAGCTTTGTTTGGGATTGATCTAAAATGACTTAAGATGGAAAAAGTGAAAACACCTGCCATATTTTTGAATGAGCAGACTTAATTATTACTGTATGTCACTTATTTTCAGCTAAATTTACATTTATGTTTCTAATCAAAAATCTCAATTTTTAAATTTTTTTCAACTTGATAAAATTATTTGATACTTTACCTAGAACACCAAACAAGTGATGTAGATAAACATGATATAGGATTAATGCAAGGATGGGCAAAGGGATGACTTTAAGAAAAAAAATGATTTTTTAGGACCTCACCTGCCCAAGGATATATCCCATTAGAAATTTGTTTTTCAAAGATAGTTAAAAGAATTTCCTGCATGGTTATGCCATCAATTGGATATACAGTTGGGTTTGTTTCAGTTTGTGTTCAATTTTGGGGGATTGCCTTTTTTCTAATTAGTTTTTTTAATTTAACACATTTACATGGTTCCAAATTATAAAATAAGGTACATTCAGAGAGGGAATAACTTATACTTTAAATGGTAATTTATTGTAATTATACATTTAGTGCTTGCTTACTATAAGTGGGGGTTATATATAAATTTCCTAACCTTCAAAATAATACTTAGTGTTGAATGGTACAACATTCATGGAACCCAGCAGAATATTTTAGAAACCATAAAATGTAGGCATGGATTTATATAGAGAAATATAATATCAGACAGTGGGAAATACTCATGATGAAATGGGCAAAGTTATGATAGAAAACCTTTATTACACCATTCTGCGGTACATATGCATGCTGTGTCATCATAGAACACATTGCAGTGGAACTTAGCTAATAAGACTGGAAGCACGGAGTCCTGCCAGGAGGCTATTGCTAGGCAAGGGAGCTGGTTTAAACAAGCTGAGGAAGAGTTTGTTTTAAGATGGGATAATCAGTAATATCAATGTCAATAAGAAGGGCCCTCCAGATATCTAGTTAGGTCATTGTTTGTGTGAGAATGAATTTGAGAAGTTCATGTCTTATAGCCTTTGTTTTTCTCTGAAGTAAGAGATGGCAAGATCATCTACTCAGAACTGAGGAGTTGGAGGGGCATTTGAGGCCAACATTGAAGTTTTGGAGTAGCCATTGTAGGCATATCCTGACCAGGGATGTTTAAAAAGACTTGCTGAGCGCCGGTAAGTCTGTGCACCACAAACTTGAGGGGCCCAAGTCTTCAGGCTTGTGTGCTTTATTACCTAAGTAGCCCAGTTTAGGAGTGGGGAAAGCAAGTTGTATCAATTTAAGATTGCAAGATGAGTCGTGGACCCAGGGAAATAAGGATATTGAAGGTCCTGACCCAGATAATTTTTGAGGTAATGTATTGTGTGATATGGACTGTTTAAGAAAGGGAGTAAGGCTGTGTGAGAAGGATAATGGATTGGAAGAAGTGAAGGTGGAGGGACAGGAAAGACTTAGTGAGCTTGAAGACCAGGGTGTGACGGAAAGATAGGCGATTGGTATTTTGGAGTGTAAAGTTTCCAAGTTCTGGGTGATTGAAGTTCAGTGTATGGTGGTGAGAATAGAGGGTGGTGAAGGTAATGTGAGATCAAGAAAACTTTGAGGCTAGATTTTTGGATCCGTGATTTAGATTAGAGGCTCCAATCCTTGCTGTACATTAAAATCACCCAGGGAGCTCTTAAATACTGATGTATGGGCTGCATCCCAGATAATTAAGTCATAATCATCTGCAGGTGGGATCTGGACATCAGTGTTGTATAAAAGTTCGTCAGGACAGCCAGTTAGCTCAGTTGGTTAGAGCACAGGGCACAGTGCTCATAATACCAAGGTTGCTGGTTCGATTTCCACATAGGCCACTGAGATGCTCCCTCCACAACTAGATTGAAACAACTACTTGACTTGGAGCTGATGGGTCCTGGAGAAACACAGTTTCCCAATTTAAAAAAAAGGATATATTAAAAAAAAAAGTTCCTCAGGTGATTCTTACATGTAGAGTTAAGAAATGCAGATTGTAGATGGACACTGAAGTCACTGATGATGACAGATGAGGTGAAGGTAATAGGTGATATAAGTCCTTAATGAATGAGGATATTGTAATAAAATTTAAACAAACCCAAACATTTTCATTCTGTGCCATATTTGTGTGAGTAAATATGAAACAGAGGCTCTTTTCCTTTGTAAAATAATTTCAACAGCACTAAGCAGATAGAAATGTTTTATATTACAGTTGCCCTTGAAATTGGACTGGCTGTACTCAACTGTCTAACTGCCTAAAGGGAAATCTCACTTAAGTTCTCTGGCTACTTGGTTTCTCCTAGAGATGGAGGAACCTAGATTGACTTTCTCCTTCTGAGAGCACAGAACATGCCCAGACCTTGTACAGGTTCATTCCCCTTCATTTTGTTCTTTTAATTCCGTTAGATTGGTCTCGCCTTCCCTCCAGTCAACCTCTCCTAGTTTATAAATCCTTGTGCACTCCCACATTCCCGCCTCCTCAAGACTCAGATACATTTTTTTTCTTGTGAACTAGGCCTTATTTTGGTTAGTTATTTAAATCCTTCCCTTCCTCTCAACATATTATGTCCCTTTGATAGTTCTTGGAAATTAGACCTTTGCCTTCTGTGTTACACCTTCCATTTTAGTTCAATAAAGGATAGGCATAGGTTCTTAAGATTTTTGTGTCGTGGGTCTCTTTAAAAGTCTGGGGAAGCATATGGCTCACTCCTCAGAATAGCATTTTTAAAACTATAAAACAAAATACACAGAATTAAAGCAGACTACTTCTACTTGAATATAATTATTAATCTATTAAAAACCAAATTTGTGCTGTAGTAATACATACTTCTGTAGCAGGTCATTAAATATCAAGAGTTAGTGGTGGGGGTTTCATGGCCATATTTCAAAGTAGTGATTAATGTAAGTGATATTTCAAGATATCTGCAATAGAAGTAACATATAAAAATATCTCTGATTTCTGTTAGTGATGAAGCCACAGATACTGCTATTACTGTTGTGTTTGTTGCCTATATTTAGGTGAAAAAGTAATTTTATATTCACATCTGATTTCATAGACTCACTGAATCCTTGGGTTAAAGTGTTTGATAAGTGACACTAAAACTAGAAATGTAAATCAATAAAGTTATAATTTATAATTTTGGATCTAATAAAAACGTAACTATTAAAAGCTTTCAAATATTTGCTTCAAAGCAGAAATCACCTAATGTTATTTTTAAAACTACTGTATGTTGGTATATCCTACATACCAACAGAATGTTCACAAGCTGCATTATTCATAAGAATTCCAAAATTGCAACAATCTGAATGTCCAGCAGCAGAGCAGATAGTTGTGCAGTCCTACAGCAATGGGAATGAAAGGACCATTGCCAAAGGCAACAATATGTGTGAACCTCACAGACATAACACTGAAAGAAATAAGAGCATACCTTGTATGTCTTCTTTTATATACAGTTTCAAAACAGGTAAAACTAGCCAGGAATGTGGTTACTTTTGGGAGACAGAGATAGTGACTGGGAGAAAGCAAGGAATGCTTTTGCCTTGCTAGAAATGTTCAGTTTCTTGACTGGGATAATGATTAACGAGTGATTAACTTGTGGAATTTATCCAGAAGTACATTTATGATTTGTATACCTTTTTGTATGTATGTCATACCTAAATAAAAATTTCACTTAAACTTTTGAAAAGGCATATCATTTTTTTTCTAAATATACAACTTTAGTAAATTCTTTAGAACATGAGAACCCACTATTATTAGTGCCTGGGATAGAAAAAGGTAGTGTTCTATTTATTTTTATATTTGGGTTCTGTTCTCTAACAGAAAAGTGATTTTACTGCATTTCTCTCTTTTTTTTCTCCTTCTTTTTCCTTTGGCTCATTCACTCCCAATTCTGATATATCAGAAATATATTTGAGGAACTGTTGGATATGACATAAAGTGTGACATGAAGGGGAGACTTGAGAAGATACCTACTATACTACTATGACCTCATTAATAAAAGAGGCTATTTTGTGAGCTTCTAGCTTTGATGAACTTGGAAAGGCAATTGAACACTCATATATTTTGGTGCCCATATTAAATCACACTAAATTTGAGTATTGGAAAGCTTATCCTTAATGTACAACTTGACAA